TTAAAATATATTGCCCAAAGAGGGCAGCAGTGTAGATGACCATCACCGCTTCACTGTCCGCACTTGACCGTCTGCGCTTCGTTCACAGGTGAAACCTGGCGAGAGCCAGACGGTGACGTCGCGTCACCTGCGCGCGACAACGGACCATCCGGAGCAGGACTTCGACATCATCTACGTGCTCGTTAACAAGCCCGAGTTCGGCGAGGTGGTCGCGCGTAACCGTGACAACGTGACGACCATCGTCGACTCGTTCTCTCAGCGCGATGTCGACGACAGCCTCATCGCCTACCTAAACACAAGGTAGTCTTCGCGTAGTTGTCTGCACCGGCGCCCCCTTGTGGGTGGTCGGGCAGCGGGAGGGCAGAAACCCTGTGTCTTTTCCCATTTTGAGCTACCAATCGGAGTGACAGTCACCATCTTAGGTCTCCAGCTAAAATGATAATATTAAATAATATATAAGTATATAATAGTATATAAAATAATAAAATAAAATATAAAATTTATAAAAAAATCAGATTAAATATATAATTAATATATATAATGTAAAATTATACAAATTTTTAACTTTTTTTGTAAGTATTTCGGGAGGATAGGAGGAAGAATGTATGCAGTCGAAGCCTAAGCATCGTATCGTTGGGTTTCGCGTCATAATTTCTCATTTTGTTCCCGTCGTAACGAATGTTTTCTCATTCGTTCCCGTCGTCACGAATGTTTTCTCATTCGTTCCTGTCGTCACGAATGTTTTTTCATTTGTTCCTGTCGTCGCGTATATTTTTTCATTTGATCCCATTGTCGCTACTATTTTTTCATTCGTTCCCGTCGTCGCAAATGTTTTTTCATTCGCTCCCGTTGTCTCGAACGTTTTTCAGAGTTCCGGAGAATCTGCCGGCGGAGGACGCGTTCTCGTTCGACATTTCTGCGAAGCACGGCAGCACCATCTATAACGAGGTGATGCTGGTGTTGATCGGTGAAACGACGGAGGGCGAGCGACAGGAGCTGCTGTTCGCTGGAGACCTGGAGGTCCTAGAAGGTGGGGTGGCTTCCCGTGTCGCTCTCCCTGTCGCTCTGTCGTCTGGGTCGCTCTCCGCATTCTCGTCTCTCTCTTGGCTGTCTCTCTCTCGTCATGTCTCTGCCTCTTCGTTCTCTCCCATTCTCTCTTCGTTCGCACGTCCTTCCTCTTTTCTCCTCTTCTCTCTGTTCGCTCCCTCTCTCATCTCTCTTGCTCCCTCTCGTCTTTCTCTCTCTCTCTTTCTCTCCCTCTTTTTCCCTCACTTCTTCGCAGCGTCATCTCTGCTTTTTTTATCTATTTTTCGCGCTGTTCTGGCTTCACAGTGTTGCACTCTCTGCCGCCTGATCTAGATCATCTACATCTCTATACCTTCTCTTCGCACTACTGAACTTTATTCGCTTCAAGAAATATACTAGCACGCGCGTAGCCAGGGGGGGGGGGTCCTTGGGCGCTAATCAAAATAAAAGAGTTTATTTTAAAAGCACTATTTTTGACATTTTTACATTAACTAAAAAAAATTCACGACATGTCGTCACCCTTGTTACGGCCATCTCGAGACCCCCCCCCCAATAAATTCCTGGCTACGCATTTGCTAACAGATGATTAGGCAATTGGTTTTCTTGGATGAGGTCGCAGCGTAACTTTGCGAGCAAGTCGCCAATGGGTGCCAACCTAAATTGTACTCTGTATATATACTCTATCTAACCTTTTGGCAATCAGCATATATTTTGCTGATGTACAGATACTCCCATTATTGTCATCTCTCTCTCTCTCCTCCCCCTCTCCAGCTCCTCGTATCTAGTTTGCTCTCACATCATTAAGTTTAACCGCGGCGTTTCTCCGCCATCTTGTCTCTCACTCTTCCTCTCTCCTCACATTGCAGGGGCCGCCATCTTGTCTCTCACTCTCTTCCTCTCTCTCCAGCAGCAGGTGCGCATCTATGTCTCTCACTCCTCATCTCTCTTCTCACATGCGGGGCGCCATCTTGTCTCTCACTCTTTCTTCTCTCACATGCAGGTGCCAGCATTCTTGTCTCACTCCTCCTCTGCTCTTCACATGCGAGGTCCGCCTCTTTTCTCTCACTCTCCTCTCTTCTCACATGCAGGGGCTGCCATTCTGTCTCTCACTCTCCTCTCTCCTCACCTCCGAGGCTGCCATCCTTGTCTCTCGACTCTGCCATCCTCTCACTGCAGGGCCGCGATCTTGTCTCCACTCTTCCTCTTCGGCAGGTCGCATCTTGTCTCCACCTCTCCTCTCTCTCACATGCAGGGCCATTGTCTCTCCACTTCCCCTCTCTTACTGCAGTGCCAGACCATCCCTGGTCTTCACTCTCCCTCTTCTCTCACAATGCAGGGGGGGCCGCATTCTTGTCTCTCACCTCCTCCGTCCCCATACATGCAGGGGCTCCATGCTCTCTGTCCTGACCTCTCTCCTCCTCCTTCTCCGATGCAGCTGCCGCGCATCTTGTTTCACCTTCCTCTCTCTAATGCAGGGGCGCGCATCATCGTCTCTCCTCTCTCCTCTCTCACATGCAGGGGCCGCTCTTCGTCTCTCACTTTCTCTTCTACATGCAGGCGCCATCTTGCCTCACTTCCTCTCTTCCATGGCAGAGGGCCGCATCTTGTCTCTCACTCTACTCCTCTCTCTCTCACATCAGGGCAGCATCGTTGTCTCTCACTCTCTCCTCTCTCTGCTCACAGATCAGGGGCCGCCCATCTTGTTCTCACGTCTCTCCTCTGCTCGTCCACGATGGTCGGGCGCCGCACTTGTCTCTCACTCTCTCTCTCTCTCACATGCAGGTGCTGCCATCACGAATCATCCCGGATTCTCTCAATCGCGTCGCGCGCATAGTCGCTGCGGCCGCGCACTGTTCGCCGTCGGCAACCTGCTCTTCGAGATCTGGGGACTCCGTCGCACCCGACGGTGACGCTGCGAGGTAACTCCGCTGCAGAGGGCGACACGTTCGCGGCCGACCTCGAGAGCCACACAGGTGCGTACAGCACGACACTGTCGGACACGACCCACGAGTCAGGTAATGGGAAGGGAGGGGAAGGGGTGGGGAGGGAGCGGGAATTGTAGGAGGGTGGGTTGTGGATGGGAGAGGGAGGGGGAGGGTTAGTGTACGAACCGTTGGCGGGGAGTGTATCACCCGTATGAAAAATTGCACGCACGGTAGTTTAAGACATGTACATTACTCATGAGTGAAGTATTTCAACATCATCAACGATGATATTGGACGGCATCTTGAAATGAAAATTCATCAATGAAATAATTGATTGATCCAGTTAGTGTAATGAATGTCTTTAAGCCATGGTATGGCTAGTAGTAAGGGATCAGGAATATATGTGCGACGTTCTTGACAAAGCATGTAAAATTGGCACACAGGTAGTTTGAGATATGTACTTCATAGAGATCGGTACCCATTCCATCAAGGGTACTGGGGCCATCTTGAATGTCAGCAATGACCACCATTAAAAAACCATCCAAATGCTTCAAATATTTCATTAATAATTGACATATGATAATAATAAATGATCTGGCCAGTTGTATTAAAAACGGCAACATTTATCGAGGCATTACAGCGAATTCAGTTCTTGGTTATGTCCTCCTACATGGCCACCACAATCCTGTTGCCTATGGGCCGGTAGCCGCCATATTTGAATTTTAAAAATGGCCGCGTTCTCTCCGCAGGTTTGCACGCTCAAGTTGAAACATTCGCCTCTTGGCAATACAAGCCAGCACAAATGAATAATACAAGCCAGACAAATATCAATACCAAGCCAGAAAAATTATCATACAAATTAAGCCAGTCACGATAATATCAAGTACCAGCCAGCACAAATATCAATACAGCCTAGCACAAATATCAATACAAGCCGCACAATTATCAATACAGCCAGACAAATATCAATACAAAGCCAGAACAAATATCAATACAGCCAGCACAAATATCAATACAAGCCAGTACAAATATCATACAACCAGCACAAATACAATACAAGCCACACAAATAATCAATCAAGCCA